ACTGCTGTCTCCTAGAAACGGCTGGTCACTGTGATGCATATTGTAAGAACCCATCAAAGACAGCCAAGTACTCTGCCTCTTGCTTGCAAACCCCATAAAAATCTCCCTCCCTAAGTCTTCAAGGCCTTACATTTTGAAGGATAATTGATTCCTTGTCAGTGCCCATAGACATTAAATAAGTCTGCCTCTGAATCCCGGGTGTCATTTTGGTGTTTCTGTTTGCCATTGCACAGCCTTAGTTTCTTCAGCTATAACTTTGTAAAGGTGATCTTTGCAGAGTCCTGCGGTTGTGGAGTTTAATAATTCTACAAAGATGCTATGTGTTTCCATATTTAACTCTCAGACTGAGTTCTAACACTACTTGGAGGGTGCTTGTTGATGGCTGGGTTAATGATGAGAGTCGGGTGATGAAAGCGAGTTCCATCCTCCAATGCCTTTGCTGGTTATGATACCCAGGGTTGTTGATTTGAAGGCAGCAGAACTGGACTGCTCTCACTCCAAGGGTTCTGACTCCAAACATATTGATTATGGAACTTGAGTTTTGTCTGTCTGTCTATCTATCTATCTTTCTTTGCTTTTTTAAGACAAGGTCTCAACAAAAAAAGACAGGGTCTCTCTATGTAGTTCAGGCTGGTCTTGAACTCACTATGGAGCCTCACCAGGCCTCAAACTCATGGCAATCCTCCTGCCTCAGCCTCCCAAATACTGGGATTACAGGCATTTGCCACCACATCTGGCTCAGAACTTGAATTTTATTTGTTTTTTTGAGACAGGGTCTTGCTTTGTAGTTCAGGCTGAACTCACTGTACAGCCCAGGCTGACCTCTGTTATGGTTTGTGTCTACATGTCCTCCCAAATCCTCATGCAGTCATGGGGCGGGATTCTAGAGTTTGATTGATTCATGGTCCAATGTTGGAATTATAGATGTGAGTGCTACACTTGCCCTGGGGTGGATAGTTTGCATATGTAAGGGAGAGGAAGAGGGTGCTTCTGGCCATTTCCGCCCTGGTGTGTGCTACTTGCTTTTGCTGTGTTCAGATGCCATGAGCTGTAGCCCTCTGCCATGCGCCACTCTGCCTTGTAATCTGCCAAGTATGGACTGAAATCTCCATGAACTGTAAGCTAAATAAACCTTTCCTTCCTTAACTTTGTGCATCAGGTATTTTGTCTCAGCAATGATAGAAAAGTAACCAAGACAACCTCAAACATTCAATGATCCTCCTGCTTCAGCCTTCCAAGTGCTAAGATCACAGGTATAAGCCACCATATCTGGCTGGAACTTGAACTTTAAATACTAAAAAAAACTAATACTTTTACATTTTCTCTCAAAAATATTTAAGTAAAACAAAAACATAATTTCCACTATATTTTTAAGTGAAGTTATTTCCTTTTACCTTTCAATTCAAAATGCAGAATAATTAAGAAAGGAGATAGGGTCAGGGTTTATGATTTGTAATTATTGGCTCAAATAAGGGTATGTCAACAGTAACACATTAGATCAAGATTCTTGCTGGGGATCAACACCTGTCAGGAGCAGATACTCTCAAAGAATTTCAAGGTTCAGATTTTTATCTTTTGACATCATTTAATGAATGTAAGGTTAGCTACAAGCTTAGTTCACTGGCTAGCTCTGGCATCCCTAGATGGGAATCTATCCATTGTCTCTTTGGGGTGTGTCCCGCTCCATTATCTTTGAGCTGTACTTTTCCCCCACTCTGTTCCCACTTCCCACCCCCACTGACAAGTGCTTTATTTATCATTACAGATAATTATTTGATTGGGAATCATCTTTATGCTGAACATATTCAGTTAATAATCTTCTGTCATCTCTTCAGGTAATTTCAGAAGTAAACTTATTTAACATTAGCTCTATCTCAACAGGAGAGGGAGGAAGGGAAGAAATGGTTCTGTCTGTTGGTACTGAATGCTCTGGGGTGATGTTTATACACTCACGCGATAGTAAAATATGTGATGATCAGTACTAAGGAGGGCTCAACCAACCAGTCAGAATGGATGTGAGCAGCAGGGCTGGATACAACTCCTTCCGAGTTGCAGTTATCTCTTTGGTTGCTGGGTCAAAAGCAGGCAATGTGGAGCTTTAGGCAGGAAATACTTCAGGTTTTTTTTTTTTTTTTTTTTTTTTTTTTTTTGAGACAGGGTCTTGCTATGCAGTTCAGGCTGGTCTGAAACTCGCAATGATCCTCCTGCTTCAGCCTCCCAAGTGCTAGGATTACAGGTGTGCACCACCATGCCCAGCGGCAGGAGATAGTTTAAATCAGCATATTTTTGTTTGTAGTACATAATGATTACATTCCTAGGGGGCAGTTGGTACATGTATATAACACACCTTAATTGTTACTGGTCTATTCAGCCAGAAGTCTTGATAGACTAGCATAAAGTACAAGATTTGAAAGCAGCTCAGTATCTTTTAAGTTAGTGTTATGGCTTGTGTCTAGATGTCCCCCCAAAGCCTCATGTGGCCATAGGTGGCTGGATCTACAGTGTGTTTTTGATTCATGAGGCAATGCTAGGATTAAGTGGGCTAGGATTAAAGGTGGTTGCTTGCTTTTGCTGTCTTCTGCTGGCTACAGATTGATTCTCTTCTATGTTCCCCCTCTGCCATGCCTCCTTGCCTTGGAGCCAGCTGATTATGGACTGAAAGCACAAACTGTGAGCTAAATAAACCTTTCTCCTTTTAACTTTGAGTGTCAGGTATTTTGTCTCAGCAACAGAGAAAAGTAACTAAGACATTTGGTCTTTGTACCTAGTACCATTCTACAACTATGAATGTCTATTTAGTGCTTTGTATAAGGAGACACATTCTTTGACACTGGACATCTTTTTAAATGATTACAATTTACAATTTTAGTTGCTGTATGGCCTTGTAAAATTACTTAATTTCTCTAGGTCTGCTTCTTTGTAAAGTAGAAACAATCATGTTTACTTCATAAGGTTGCAGGTAAGATTAAAGTGCCTGTAACTTACTATTGTGCTGACAAATGAAATTTTCAATACATGTGTTTTCTTCCCTAAGACTTTTTTTAAGCAATTAATTATACAGTTAATTAACTAATTATATGGGATTTATCATGCTCTAAAATCTAAAAATACTGTTTACATGTACTTTTAGAATGTAAAATGTATGACAGAGGAAAAACACGTGTAGAATGTTACAGGAAAAAATATGCCCAGACCTTGTAAGAGTTGTATCTTACAAATACTGGTGTTTATGTATTGGTATTTATGTACTGCCACTTTTTAAAAAACATCTATAGTTTATATAAATTTGCAACTATAAATTAGGAGAGCAAATTTATGGGAGGTAGAATTTGGTTTGATCTTTACCTCCTTGTGGAAAGCTTGTGACTTTTACTTTAAATAGCAAGAGGAAATGAAAGTTGCTAATCCTTTGACTTTAAAATAGAAAGATTATCTGAGTGGAACTGCAAGTGGCAAAGAAAGGCCGGGGGTTGGTCACACGGAAGTAACGGAGGCAGGGGGAAAGGCTTGTATAATGAGTGGAACTTGGCACATCACCCTGGCTTTGAAGATGGAGAAGGGGGTCATGAGGCAAAGAATCTGACTGAACTGCAGAACCTAGAAAGAGCCAGCAAGAAAGTAACCACAAGAACTGGTTCTGTCAGCAGTCTCAGCAAGGAAATGGATTCTCTCTTAGAGCCTCACAGAGTGCAGGCTGACAGCATGCACGTTAGTCCCTGGAGATCTATATCCTATTTTTGACATAGAGAACTATATGATTATAAATGTATACAGTTTTAAGCCACTAAAATTGTGGTAATTTCTTACAGCAATAATACTAAATGAATGCATTAAAAATGTCCTATTTTTATTTTCCTTAAATCAAAGTTTATCCTTATTCTGCTGGACCAGTGTGATTCTCACGGAGGCCCTTTTCCCTGCTAGTGACATGTCTCCTCCTCCCACAACACCAAATACTGGAGTTGTCTTCTAATAGCCCCCACCCCAAGGCAACGAAACACAAAGGTCTGGTTATCTACTTGGGAAATAATAAAACATAACACCTCCCTACGTTAACTTGCCACTGGTACACTGGTTGTTTCTCTTAAAGGGCATTTTGCTCTCTTCTCTGGTTTCTCATAGTCTTTGTTCTAATATCTGGGTCTGCCCCACGCTTACAACCTCAGTTATGTTCCTTCAGTCTTCTCAGGTCAGAGCTGATAAAACTGGGTACTGGGAGAATTTCCTGCTTCCTAGAAAAGTGACTTCCCTCTGGGTGGGAGCTTGTTGCTGTTTCTAAATTTTTTGGTATGCTGAGGTTTGCACATCAAAGGTTTCTGTATGATAGGCACACGCTCCATCACTGAGGTACTCATCTAGCCCCTGGGAGTTTTTTGGGTCACCTTCTGGGAGAGTGAGCTTACAGGACTTTTTCTCTACAGAGAAGCAAAGATAAAGCAGGAGACCACCTAATGTATCAATGAAGATATTCTATGCAAACCAGAGATGATAAAAACCTGAAACACAGCAGAAGCAAGGGGAGAGATAAATGGTTGGATTTTGAATCCTTCCAAGGATAGAGCCAATGATCTGATAAGGCATGTTACAGAAAAGCCGAAGACAAATAGGTTTATCGGACTCGTTTGCTGTATCAGACCACTCTCCTGGGAGTCCAGAGAAATCCTAAATGCTGTGAGCATATTTCAACCCTTCCAACTGCAGATGAGTGGCTCTCTTTGGTTTAAAACGTTATGGAAGAATTTAATTTTGGCAATTAGCTGGTTTTCTAACATAAACTTGCAACCAGATTTCACTTTCTAATTAATTTTCCTCCATATTAGCTTCTGGGTTTTATGTATCTCTGAATCCAACTGGTATAAGTGCCAGTTCTCTCTCCCATTCTACATCCATCACCAGATGGATGTTCTAGCCTTTTTCTTTTCTCCACTTTCCATACTCCAAAAGGAAGGATGTTTCCAAAGGAAAAATGCAGGATAGTTACAGACAATAGCTTTGTATTAGTCGATTTACAAATTCAGTTTTATTATGACTGAAAAATCTAACAGTGAAAAAACCCCCGCTTTCTTCAGAAAATATAATATTGCTATACTACTGTTAGTGGTAAGTCTATTTTTTAATCCTTTACAGGTAGGGAATCAAGATACTCGGGGGTTGCAAAACAGTTATCATGACAGATAAAAACCAGTTTGTTTACACTGGTAGAATGGATAGTCAGAAACAGGAGAACTTGGAGCTCCAGGGGCAGAATTGGTCAGCGTGCCACACTTATACAGAAACAGGAAAACCGAATGAGCCACTCTTTTTTCTTCATTCAGGTGTGGGCACCACATGGCTCAGGTGATTACCCTTGTTTCAGCTTAGGAGACTGATACCCCAGGCGGGAGATCATTAGTTCCGACACCTGCGAGACCAGAGAGAGCGGGGAATGGAGGCACCTGGAGTCAGAAGTGTCTGACCCTTTAAATACTGGGAGCCTAAGTTGTGTTAGGGCTCCCTCTTGCTTTTGCCTGTTCCTGCTACTGTCCTAAGATCTTCAATAAATGTAGCTTCCCTACTACTACGAGGTGTGCGCTTGGCAATTCTTTCCTGGCCAAGGACCTAGACTGGTATTTTTGGCCCATTTAACTGTAAGAGAAGTAACAAAGTTTTCATAATAAATGACACTAGCACTCACTTTGGGAAAGAAGTACTTCTGCCTTTATTGCAAAGGAAAACTTAATTTTGGCTATTAAAAATCTGATATACAGGGCTACACTGTCGTTATCCAATATCTGTAAAAACTTGGGCAAGTAATTAACTTTTCTAGTGCCTGTTTTCTCAGACACAAAAACTACTTGTATCTCGGGTTGGCCCTCCTGTTGCCTCTTGTTCTCAGGGCCTCAGACGAATTATAAAACTCCACTTTATACATATTTTGTGTCTAATTTAAAAGTATGTTAGACTCTTAAGAAGAAATAGCCAAGTACAAGGCACAGGACAGTTTCCTGCCCTCCCAGGTCAAGAAACTCTCGTTTTCTGTGGGTACAATCTCCCGTTCGCTATGAAGGACCTCGGCTACTCCAACTTATGTGCATGCACCGCCCCAAAGAATCCCCCAAATTCTTAAGCCGCCATCATAAGGCAGGAAATGCACAATTCCATTGTATCTTTACTTTTGAAGGGTTTAAGTGAAGGGAATTACATTCAGGTGCTTTCCGAGAAGCCTCCACTACTGAGCCCAACGACTTCACCTACTTTCACCTCCAACACCACCCAGCTACGCGCTCCTTCCGGGCTCCAGGTGAGAAGACCGACGGGACATCAACCAATGGGCTAGCTCCTTCTCCACGGCAGGGCGGGACTTCAGCCCAGCGTCGGAGGCCCGCCTCTATACGTGCTGTGCGTGCGTGCGTGCGTAGCACCGTGCGGCGAAGGCCGTTTCTCCAGCGCGTGGCGCCCTCCGGCGGCCGCGAGTCCTCAATGCGACGGCCCGACCTGAGCGCCCGCCATGGAGCCGCGGAGAGAGGCGCGAACCCCTCGGGACACGGTTGCGCGCCCGCCCGGGGTCTCGACGACGTCGGTGAGGGGCGTGGAGGAGCGGCGGGAGGGCGGTGCCTCGCCGGCAGCGCCAGCTTCGGACCCGGAGGCGGACTGCGCGAGCGCGGACGGGCTGTGGGTGCTGCCCGTGGAGCCCATAGCGCG